TTAAATCAACTGGAAGAAAACTGTAAAATAAAAGTACGAACGGCAAAGCTCGCGAGATGGCAAAGGTCGGGAGGGGCAGGGACAGTGATCGAAGTTCCCTAAGGATGAAGACGTTGATGGGACGCAGTATTGGAGCCACAGCGGACATATTCAGTATTAGAAATAATTAGGGGTTATGTCAGGGGCAGGCGTCTCTGCTTCCTGGCTCCTCTTTTTAAAATTCGATTTAATTTGGGGGGGGGGGGTTGAGCCAGGGAGGGGCAGAGGGAGACAGAGAATCTTAAGCAGCCTCCACACTCAGCTCAGAGGTGACGCGGGGCTTGACCCCGAGATCCTGGGATCGTCACCTGAGCCAAAACCAAGAGTTGGCTGCTCAGCTGACTGAGCCCCAGGCGCCCCGCCCTGGTCCCTCCTGGCACCACAGCCTAAATGTGTGCAGTGTATCCATCGGGGGAGGGACAGCTTTGTGGCCTGTTTACTGCAGCCTGGTGTCCGGTGGGGATGTGGGCACCCCGGTTCTAGGGCAGCGTCTGACTGTGGCACTTACCTCCGTTCTCTGGGCTGAGGAAGGTGGGCAGAAGGGGTTGGGGTAGGAGAGGAAGGAGAGGGGAGGATGGGGTGGAGGGTGTCGGATGATGTCACAGTCACGCGATGGCTCTCCTGCAGAGGTGCCTCCCGGTCCGGGACACCAGCAAGACCCACGGACCGAGCAGGTAGGAGGACTCGTGACCTCATGCGACTTCAGCTGCAGACAGACCTCGGCCGAGCGCTTCTCACCTCTGGCCTTAGTTTCCTCACCCCCGAATGCAGGGCAGAGGGCCTTGGGGTTTTGTGTGGCCAGAGCCAGCTGTGTTCGTCCCTTCCGGCTGGACCTGGGAAATGCCATCAGCAAGCCCTCATCCCCAGTTCTGACTCCTCCATTGGACCGGCGGGACGAGGAGCCCTGAGGGTGGGCTGGTGGGCGGGGCGGGGGCCCCAACAACCAGGCAGTTTCACAGAGCGCCTCCCCCCTGCCCCGCCCTTGACAGGTGTCACTTAAACACTCCCAACATCCATATCGGTGTAATTTTCTCCCCACTTTACAGATGGGGAAACAGGGGCTCAGAGAGGAGGGAGACGTGCCCAGGGTCCCCCAGCTGGGTCACCCTGAGGGCAGAAGTCGCGGGGCTGAGATGCACGCGTCCCAAAGTGCCTGTATTTTTTTTCGCTGCTGTGGCCCCAGCCCCTAACTAGCCCCTGGCGATCAGGAGATGCTCGTGGGTACTGGCTGGACCGGGCTGGACTGGGAGGCGGTGCCTGGTCGACCCCATAGGAGGCGACCGGGGCACAGACACGGGCTGTGACTCGCCGGAGGCCGCCTGCTCGGCATCGTTCTGGTTTCACTGCCAGACTAGCACTGCTCCCTCCGCCCTGTGCCCCCCCGGCCGGTGTCCCCAGGCCCAGGAGACCCATCCACGGGACCACAAGGCTGGCGTGAGGACCCGGCTACCCAGAGGGCCTACCGGCCACTTTCCTCTCCGTGGGCACCCCTGAGTGCTTACGGAATACTAGTGACAAACTCAGCCCAGATGCTGCCCGTCCGCACCGCAGGGACAGCCTGGCCGTACCAGGGACAGTACGGTACCCTGGCATCTGAGAAAGCTTATTCCGGTCTTCCCTTTACCGCGAGCGCCTTCTACGAGCCGTGCATCCAAGCCAGGCTCCACACCATAGAGTCCGTGTAAACCGTGAACCTATAAACAAGCTGCCCGTTATTTTACCAGCAAACGTGGGTTTACTCGGGAACAGCAGAGAATTGCAACCGGGGAGAGATGAGCCACAGCAAGGCCACAGGCAACTCTGCAGAGAGGACCCCTCCTTTGGAGAGGACGGAGGGAGTTGGGCGGGACCGCTGTAAAGAGAAAGTTCATTGGAGCACTTTACTCCAAGTGCCCGGTGTCGTGGCTTGTCATTGGTTGAGCGGGGACTATCTCTCATTGGCTGGGCTGTCGCTGGGGGCGGAGAAAGTCTTCCTCCCGCTGGGGTAGGTAAGTTCCAGCTGGGACTGTAAGGTACACGCTCTTCCTGTTGGGGTCTACGATTGACCGCCAGGAGTAGTAGTGCGTGAGAGTCCCCTCTTTCTGTCCTCCCCACTCCATTTCATTTCCTTTTACTTTTAAAGATTTTATTTTAAAAATAAAGCCACTCAGTGTGGGGCTTGAACTCACAACCCCGAGAATAAGAATTGCATACCCCACGGACTGAGCCAGCCAGGGGCCCCTCCCAACTCCATTTTAAATGAGGTTTCCTTGGGGCGCCTGGGTGGCGCAGTCGGTTAAGCGTCCGACTTCAGCCAGGTCACGATCTCCCGGTCCGTGAGTTCAAGCCCCGCGTCGGGCTCTGGGCTGATGGCTCAGAGCCTGGAGCCTGTTTCCGATTCTGTGTCTCCCTCTCTCTGCCCCTCCCCCGTTCATGCTCTGTCTCTCTCTGTCCCCAAAAAATAAATAAACATTAAAAAATAAATAAATGAGGTTTCCTTTAATTAATTTTCACAAAATGCTTATAGTGCCCTGCATTCCACTTGGGCCTCCGTGAGTTTGTACTCAGACCTAAAGGGAATTCCTTAATCGCAATTAAAGACAAATCCTTGGGGGATGGGCCATTTTTACAAAGTTCTACGTGGATCTATTTTCTTTTTTCAGAATGAAAGTATCTTACTTTTACCAGGTTTTAAAATGTATGCTTCGGGGCACCTGGGTGGCTCAGCCGGTTATGTGTCCGACTTCGGCCCAGGTCATGATCTCATGGTCTGTGAGTTCGAGCCCCGCGTC